GGGAGAGGAGACAGACACTATAAATACATGAGTATATGTAGAGTATGCCAGGTGGTCATAAATGCTACGGGGAAAAATGAAGCAGGATATTGGAGTGCCTTGAGTGAAGGGCCTCATTGAGAGGAAAATATTTTGGCAGAAACCTGAAGGAGTTGAGAGAATTAGCATCCAGATATCTGGGGGAGGAGGATTCCAGGAAAAGAGAACAGTGAGTGGAAAAGGGTCTGGTGTAGGTGTATGATGTCTGAGAACTCCCTGGCAGTCAGTGTGGCTGGAATGAGACTGAGAAAGGAGGTATTGAGGCTGGAGAGGTAACATAATGGAGATGTGGTTGAGAAATTGTGTTAGTACTTTGGCTTTCACACTGTGTGAGATGGGTGGCTACCAGCTGGTTTTGAATAGATAAGCAACATATTCTCGTCTTTTAAAAGGATCTCCTTGGCTGCTAGTTTGATAATATACTGTAGGAGAAGGGAGAGAAGGACATAAGTGTGTAGGAGCAAGGGCTACTTAAGAGCCACTGCAATAATTCAGGCAGAGACAGCCTTGGTTTAGACCAGGGTGGTAGAGGTGGAAATGATGCAAAGTGATACAAACCTAATATATTTTGAAGTAAAGAAAACAGGATTTGGGGTATGAGAGAAAAAGAGGAATCAAGGATGACACCAATACTTTCAGCATGAGTAATTGGAAGTATAGACGTGCCATTTACTGTCATGAGAAAGGCTGTGAGAAGAGCAGGTGTCAGGGAGAATATCAGGAGTCAGTTTGGATATTGGAGTTAGTTTGATCATTACTAGACATCTAGATGAAGTTGGTAAGGAGGCAGATGTGTGCTTTCGAAGTTCAACACATAGGTTCATTTGGGAATAGAACTCTGGGAATTGTCAACATACGTATGGTATTTAAAGTCAGGAAATCACCAAGAGACAAGTGTAACAGAGAAGTCCAAGAACTGAGTCCTGAAATATCTCTAAATGAAAACATTTAGAGATTGCTGAGATGAGGGACATTTGTCAAAAGAGATTAAGAAGGAGCAATCAGTAATATACAAGAGGACCAGAAGATTTTGGTGCCCTGAAAGTCAGGGGAAAATAGTATTTCAAAAACGATAGAATAAGAAACTGACTCATATGCTGTAGATAGGTCAAATAGTTGACCATTGGATTTAGAACTCAAAGACAGTGATCTTGAGAAAAGACCCATTGGAGTGTTGGGAGTGAAAGCCCAATTGGAATGGATTCAAGAGAAAATGAGAAGAATTGGAGACAATAGTTATAGACATCTCTTTTGAATTTTGCATAAAGAGGAACTGAGGATGGCAGCTGAAGGGGTATGTAAAATGTGGGGAGGATTTTTTTTTTTTTATTTGACAGATAACTCAGGATACCTCATCATAGCTCAGAGTGTAACACTTCTTGTTGCTTTATTGCAGTAGCCTCCTTCTGCCTCAAAGGATTAGGCATTGATGACCAAATGAATTTCCTCAAAACACCCTTCTAAATCAAGAAAGCTCTCCCTATCCGTATCTTTTGCACAAAAAATGTTTTAATGACAATTTAATAATAATCTACCAAATAATATTTAAATTCCTTAGCCCTGAAGTCAAGGTGAAAAAAAATCTGATGTCTACTCTACCCCAGCAAATTTGGTCTCTTCTCTATATACCACTTCCTACCCTTGGGACTTGTTGTAACCCCTCTATGTAAACCCTGATCTTTACCCTCCGTGTTTCTGCTTGTAATAACAGAAGTGGGGCTTCAGGGCCCCACTCATGTATGTGCATGCACATATATGCACATGTTATATGATCCCTTCATTGATGACCTGAGCCAGAAAAATACTTCTGTCATCTCCACTGCTATAGTATTTATCATCAAAACATTTTATGCTTAGCTACTGCCTTACATGCTAGACATTTTTGTGTCTTTCATGGTGTCTGTCGCAAAGCACATGAATGTGTTATATGAAAATATGTTGACTAAATAAATAAGCATGCCTCAGGTCTGCTAACTCCAAGTCTACTGCTTTCTCCTTTCACGATTCTGCTGTAGTCTTTGGTATGATCCAGTGTTGAGTTAAATATGAGTGCTGCCTACATCCCTAGCACTATGTCTGGAACAGCATGGTTTAGTCTACATAGAATTAGGAAATTTTCTAATTTTGAGGCAGCTGAGAGCCTCCTGCTCAGTAATCAGGAAGCTTCACTTGGAGGAGGTCTTTTATGATGGTATTAACAAACATTTGGTCATAAACTGAAAGGAAAGATGAGATCTGAGAATACAAGTGTTCCTTTAAACCTTTGTTGTCACTGAAGACAAAAGCTTAATGAAACATCTGTCCTATTAAAGAGCTAGTTTTTTTGGTGTTTTATAGTTGTAAAATTTAATCATAATTCAGTTTGCAAAAATCAAACCTTGTGCCAATCTCATTAACTTTGAGCCAAGTTTCATAGTCATTAACATTTTCTCTCAGGAGGAAAAGATAGTTGTCTGCAGTTAGTTTTTGCTTAGTTCTTATGAAGGGCTTAAATACCTTATTAATCTTTCTTAACAACCTGGCAAAATAAGTAGAAATCATTAACCTTGGTAAAAGAACAGAGAGTTGGGGCCAAAATTCCTTGCTTAAATGTGTTGTCAGCTGACCATTATTGTAACCTTGAGGATTGAATTATACCTTTACATTGTCCTATAGAAAATAATTGAATAGGCCAGATGTGGTGGCTCACACCTATAATCCCAGCACTTTGGGAGGCCACGGCGGGTGGATCAAGATGTCAAGAGATCGAGTCCATCCTGGCCAACATGGTGAAATCCTGTCTCTACTAAAAATACAAAAATTAGCTGGATGTGGTGGCACGCGCCTGTAGTCCCAGCTACTCAGGAGGCTGAGGCAGAAGAATCGCCTGAACCCAGCAGGTGGAGGTTGTGGTGAGCCAAGATTGTGCCACTGCACTCCAACCTGGTAACAGAGCAAAACTTTGTCTTAAAAAAAAAAAAAAAAGAAAAGAAAATAATTGAATAACATTTTATGTTGAGAAGGATGGCTTTTGCTAGGGCATTTTATGTTCTGTTTAGTAGATTTAAAACAAACTTATTTATTTATTTACTTGTATTTTTCTTGTCTTGCAAATTATAAACCCACTGTGGAGAGGGGAATATATTTGGTTTCACTAGAATGTTTCCTTGGTGTTTGACTTCTATTGGGACATCACAAATGTTGACTTAAGGACTAAATTAGTTGTAAACACCACTGCACTCACACCAGCCAAAAGGACTAAATTATTTTTCACATATATTTTGTCAGTGAGTGTTCAAAGAGAAGAATGATTCCAGGTACGAAAATGAGAAATGTGTGAAAATCAGCATTTTACATGTATAACGAAAGTGACTTTTACCAAGGCACTCTGCCAATCTTCCTTCAAAATAATTAGCATGCAAATTGGAATTCATATTTCATGCCAAAAAATGGTTGTTGTATAGACGATTATTAGTGCGTAGGTGGTGTTTATGTGGATGCGCAGATGTGTTCAGAAACTCTTGATCTATGTGGCACTCTGAACAACCCAGCCTGTATGCACAGATGAATTACATTTCATTTCCTCATTATCCTGTGCCACAATTACAACTCGCATATTTGAACAGGTATACCAGTTTATCCAGAGAGAATTACATATTTGAGAAAACAGTTTAATGAATTACTTCACATTTGCAATAAGTAGCTTTAATGAACTATCTAAACAAAAGGTATAGGTTTTCTGGTTAGCCAAAACTTCCTTTTGTTAATCTTTCCCTTCCTCTGTTGATAGGAAGGAAAGACTTCATTCTTCATTGTCTCTCCAATTTTGATCTTCTGTCCAGTGATCTCAACTCTGGATGATTCCAAAACAGTGAACAAAAAACACGTAATTTCACTCTAGATTTAGGAGCTCTAGAATCCATTTGGCAGGTGGGGTGACATGGAAATCTCTATTGCACGAAAGAAAAGAAGTAATGCTTAGATCTAGGACCTGGACGGTTACCCAGACATTTGATAACATCAATGACAAAGAAATATGGATCCAATTTGAAATGCCTAGCCAGAAGGCTCCTTAATTAAGAGATACCAGCATGGTGCATGGCTATAGGCTTCCTATGGGATATGACATTTTAATTTTTTTGCCTTGTTACCTGAGGATCTTTTCAGATTCAGACCTGGCAACACTTTCCTAGCTCTGTTTCCTGTTACCCTCTTTTTTATCCTGTAACACCTGCTAACAATGTAAGAAGTTGTCAGGACACATTTGGATTTCAAGTGTCTAGAAAGTTACATCTATTCAACCAACGAATAAGATTATATAAAATTAAATATTTTAAATATTTTTCTCCTGAGTCTTGTATTTCCTTCTCACTACCTTCATCTTCAGTCCTTAAATTTCCATTTTAAGCTGTGACCACTCCATGGAGAATATCTTCTCCAGTGTGCAAATTTTTTCCAAGACTAGATCTTTTTTCTTCTACTTGTCCTTCTGATTGCCACTTTTTTTTTTCTGTCTGTCTCTAAGCTCCTGTCTAAAATCTTAGAGCATATATTCCCTGTAGAGTTCAATAGCCCTGGGTTTCAACCCAGACTCTGACATTTATTGGTTTGTGACTTGAACAGTTTCTGTTCTCTCTGAATCTCATTTTAATAGGATCTACTTCTTGAGATTGTCATCAGAACAGAAATAGAAAGTCAGTGCTGGTGGTCTATTTCCAGGCTAGGGGTATGCTGAAATAATTCAAAGCTAAAGACATCTATACCTAATAATCAGAGAAACTTGTGAAAGGCTTCCAACCCATTTTCATTAGAAAACTCGTATTCACGGAAAAGCAAGAGTCCTGGTCCAGTGTGCTCAACCAGTTCCAGTTGATTTCCAATTATTTAACAATTAGACCACAGGTATAAACTTATCTCTCTCTTGAATGACCAGCTTCAGTCGTCCAGAAAACCTTACCTGACTGTCTACTACCTTTCTCCAGTTTGAACTTCAATGGATGCTGATCCATTGTGACCCCCTGCGGCCCAGGAGAGAAACTTGCCATGAGTTGCCAGCCAGAATAACGGTGAGTCCCCTGACTACCTGCAAAGGCCACGTCTACCCAGCTCAACCCTCTGCACCTCACCACTTTCCCATCTTGCCACCTCCCCAGCACCCCTCCTCCCCACTCTCTTTCCCTAAGAGAGCCTGTGCTTTGCTGTACTGACTAGAGAAATATTAGGGAAGCACAGGTCATACTTTCGACCTGGTGAATAGAAACCACCTGCAGCCTGGCAGGTAGAAACCACCTGCGGGTGTGTGGTTCTCCCTTTGGCGGCTTACGGACCCTCCTCCCTCACTCTCAAACATATCCAAGACCACTTGAGGTCTACTGGCCAACACTGGCATAGGCCACCCGGGAAGGCTCCGAGGACAGCCAGAAGCTGCACTGGGGTGGATGGGATGGAGGCAGAGCTGCGTGTTCAGGCCTTGCCTGTGCGGCGGCAGGGAAGGGGTTAAGGGCGACTGTTGTCATTCTATCCGTCCTCCCCTGCCCCCTAGCTCTCCTCCAATCCCAGGACCCTCTTCGGGGCCATTCATAAACAGGGGGAACGTGCGCCTCCCGGGCCTGGACACCTAGGCAACCGTTACTCCCGGGGGTGTTTTTTCTGCAGAGACGAAGTGCCACCTATGCTAGTGGCGGGTCTGGAAGCCTAGAGGGGAAGCAGGCTGCAGAGCCGGGCCAAGGGATTAGCGGAGGGCGGCGGGCATGGCCAGGACTGCGCGGGACCGCGGGGCCCTGGGGCTGCTGCTGTCAGGGCTCTGCTTGTGCGCGGCTCAAGTAAGTTGCGAGCGAGTTTGAGGGGTGCTTTTCTCACTTTCTCCCCATCTTTTCTTCTCCAGCCCAGCCAGACCACCGACGAGGTAAGCTGGGGACAGGAAGTGTTTGCATTTTTCAAGCGCACACGAGGACAGGTGGGGGCGCAGCGGTCGGGGGAGCTATGAGGAAGGCGCGGAGCATCCTCAGGGC